TCAACCTTGGCTCTGGCTTGGACTCAGCCTGGGAACTATAAAATTATGATGCCTGAGCACCCCCCGCCCTTAGAGATTCTGGTTTAATTATCTGGAACTGGGATCTCCCAAAACTCCTGGGAGGATATTACTGTGCAGCAAGGGTTGGGAGCCGCAGACAAGATGTCCAGGACTTAAGAGATCATCTTATCCAAGGGTTCTCGGCTATGGCTGCAACCCAGCATCCTCTAGAGAACCTTCAAAAGAAACACTGCCCCACCCACTGAACCCACATTTCTGGAGGACGGGACCAGGCTTTTTAGAAAACTCCCAGGTGATTTTGATGCACAGCAGGAGTTAAGGTCAGCTGACATGATATAGCCATCCTGTACCCAAGGAAAAGTGAGACTAAGAAAGGTCCTGCGGCTTGGTCAAGGTCAGATCCCCATTGCTCCAGAGGCAGGTCTGGGGCTCAGGTTTGACGCCTTCTACTGGTCTTTGCAGCCTAACGCCATCCCTCCTGTTTGTCTATTATATTTATTGATGCCTCCTCATCCTTCAGGTGATGTTCCTGCCTCCAGGAGGCCTTTTCTGGTTCCTCACAGTCACCTTGTGTCCGGTCTGGGTAAGATCCCCTTTATTTCTATTTGAACAGCACCCTTACTTTGCCCCTCAGCCTGTCTGTTGCAGGAGGACGAGCCTGTAGCTTCTTGTTTTTACTGTAATTTGGTGGCATGTAGTGGGGTTCCAAATAATACTTGCCAAATTGAAGTTCCATAACGTTTTGTTCATTAATTAGTCAACATGGTTTGCTAAAAATAATCCTTTCCTGTACGTTTGCTTTGGAAAATAGTTTCTGAAAGCAAAAGCTATTTCTTACCCATCTATGGCCCACTGTGCTGTGTGGTTCAGGATCTCATAAACAAAAAGGACTTCCCGGCCTGCCTTCCAGTAGAGAGAGAGGTTTAGAAAGATATGTTTGGTAAGGGGAGTTTGATGACAGAATAATGGAAACAAGACTTCAGTGACCTTACATGGTGCTCAAAGTACTTACAACACCCAGGGGCTTTTGAGTAACATACTTACAAGTGTATCTGGCTTAATAAAAGGGAGCATGTGGCATTACCTACAGACAAAAAGTTAACCCAAGAAAATAATGCTATTTTCTGAAAGTAGGTTTTGAGGATTGAATTTTTTTTATATATTGAATATATAACTCTGAACAGCCACGTTTTATTAGTATAGCAGAATCAAATTCTTTGGCTGGTATCTT